CACTGTCCTTTTTTTATGCTGCAAGCGGGTGCAAGATATAGTTATGTTTTTGGGATAGGCCTACGTAGAACTTTTAAAAGTCGTGTAGGAGCGTAGTTTGTAACGTATGGCACGTAATTTATCATAAAATATAGTGCTATGATTAGTAATACGTTCAACAAATCGAATCGTGCGTACAAATAATTCCACTGGACATTCTTGTGAGATTGTAGTACACAACTCCCTGTTGATTCATATCATCAACATTGTTACAGAGATAATAGGTAAAGTGTACACCTCTTAGATATCTGCTTATACATTTGTAATTTCCTATGCTAGCTGGGCTGTTTAGGATGCAATGTCGGCTTCTTAACGTTATCGATTGCCAAAGATTTTGGTCCACGTCGTATCCTCGGTATTGATATTGATGAGCACTTGATTGGTGTAGCACGAAAAAATATACGCCACTATTGTGACCAAGATATCGAGGTGGGATGAATACTATTTCCCCTACTATTTTTCCTCTATTCTTTTCTTTAAATTTTTTACAAGGTTCAACTTCTTCTAGTTTATTGGAAAATTTCCTGCATCGTTTTGCTCAAACTTTGGTCCTATAGCCAACCATAGCCTCTCTTTCTCAACAAAATTCCCAGATAACGTATGGTTTCGGAAGGAAAACTATGTCCTTGAAAATGACGAACTGTTGGAAACTGTACGTTTCTTTTTTTTTGCCAAAACCAAGCACTTTAAACATAGCTCCTATTTGTTCAGGTACAAGAAGAGTTCGATGTTATCCTTGCCTTAAGCATAACCAAATGGATTCATCTCAACTTTGGTGATGATGGTATACGTCGATTTTTCCGTCGCGCTTACAACCAGTTGCTTCCTGGAGGACGATTTATCGTGGAGCCTCAGCCTTTTGCAAGTTACAGGAAGAGATCAAAAATGACGGTGAGTTAAATCTATTCCCTCTTTTACCAACCATCAACAAAATTTTTTTTCTTGTTTCAGGAAGTGTTGAAAGCCAATTATAGTGCTATAGAATTCAAGCCAGAAGACTTTGAAATGTATCTTATTGAGACGGTCGGATTTGAAAGTGTTGAGCACCTTGGTGCTCCATGCGCGAAGAGCAAAGGTGAGCATTCCGATTCCGATTCATAGCTTTTTCAAATATCTAGCGAGTATTCAGTAAATGTTTGTAGGATTCGAACGCCCAATTGATGTCTATCTGAAGAAGCCACCTCGCTTTATGGAGGGAGGGGATAAAGCTGACCGATGATTGACTATTCTTGGAGTACATGTTCCACATCTCATTTATCTCATGCCGAGCAATCTCTTTGAAGTCTTAAACCCTTTAGCTACGAATATGGTGATATGTTGTTTTGTTCGTTGGTTCTCGGTGTTTTTAAGTGATACATTTGTATTGTTTTTTTCTCATTTACAACAATCCACTGCAACCCGCCTTATTGGTGGATTCTATGATCTTCTTATTTCGTTTTTTTTTTGAACAATTGAATTAGTTCGCTTGAAAATGAATCTTTGATAATAAGTGCATTGTTCTACTCGCTATGTTTAGAAACATTAAATATCGCAAATTAGTTCCACAGGATTTCCGTCAAAATCTGCTGCAAGAAATAAAGTTAGCTTGTGAAGTTACCTATACCTTCTTTTAAACCCTTTGGGCATTCATTATTGACTATTATGTTTTGCTTATTTCATTACTCATAACAGATGCTCATATGCAGTAATATTCTAGAAAATGTCAGGGACACTACGAAAAGTTCCGCGAATAATGGCTAAATCTACAAGAGCAACTAAAATGACTACAGTTCCTAGCAGTAAGTTTCTAATTTTACTAAAAATGAATTCCACTTTGCATTGTTTTGGGCATTTAGGCGCGAAGCCTGCGAGTGTTCAGACTAGTGAAGACGTTTCTATACGATCGAATGAAATAGATGATGACCATGAACAGCTATTAGTTCGAGATGGCGTCGTAGTTGGGCTACAGCAACCAAACGGTCGTTTTGTAGATGAAACTGGAGTGCAGGTTTATTTATGTTTTTTTGCAAGTTTATTTTATCACCATTTTGCATTTTTGAGGATTATTAGGAAACCATTCACTCTTCCAATCTATGACTTCAATTTCGCGTAATCATTTTTTTTTCTAAAGGTGCCAACATCTGTTGTACATACAACTCCCCGTACACGAAGGATTGTGATTGAAAGTTCCATAGAGAGTAGCAGAGAATATGAGCCATACATCCCTACAACTTTGCCGGGTTAGTTCTCTCATTTCATTATTAGCACTCATCATTTCGTATTTCTAACTCATGAGGTAGTTACATGAGTTTCTATGATGTTTTGCTGGCTTTCCGCTTTTTATTTTTATTGATCAGTTGATGTGCAAACTCCGAAAACCCTCTTTCCGATGAAGCCTTATTCATCATTCCCCCCAAATTATTTGAATATCTTGGATTATTGAATTGAGAAATGGATTGCCCACTGAAAAAGTATTCAACACTCAATTTCGTTTGTTCCCAGTGGAGGCCGAAATTTGCCAATTTTTGTTTGTGTATGGAGGATATTTTATGTCCTGTGGTTACTAAAGATTGGTGTACTAAGTTTAGTTTCGGCCCGTCGAGACTTTCACATACTGATAGGCCATCCATATTTGATAGAGATTACTTGTAGGAACATCAAATCTCACTGTGTCTTAAAGGCTTTTTTCTTCAAACGGTTTTCATTTCATATCACTCTCGACCATATGCAAGGTATAGATAAGCAGTCGGTGCAATGGCTTTTGGGACGAGCAACTTTGAATATTAGGGCAATAGTATTGACCGATTTTTGGGAAAATGAAACAGGCCCTAAGTGATGACGACTAGTGCTTGATTGCCGTTGTGTTACCACTCAAATAAATTACTTTCCTATAATGCAAAGAATCGCATAAATTACGAGAAAACGTAACTCTCAAAAACACTGTTTTTGTTTTTTTTTTCGCTTTTCAGCTCAAACCGAGTCAAGCTTTTCTACCACCGTTCATGTGTATTGAAATAGATAAATAATTTTTGAGGAAAATGACGAATGAAGTTTTGCATGCAGTAGCTTACAAGATATATGAATTACATGCTCAAAAATTCTGAGAATTGCAAAAAAGGGTGCAAAGAAATCAATGAAATTTACGTATTGGTTTTCTTACGCAGATTTTCTTCCAAACTTATCGTTGAGCTATGTTGCTATTGATGACGCATATTATCCATAAATATATTCTATCTATGCGGAAGAAAAGATAATCTTGGCTCTTACTGTTTATTGTGGACGACATTTCTTGATTTTTCAGTTTCATTCAGTTATTACATAACACTCTGAAGCGAAATTTGCTACTTATTGTTAGTACTTCTACTGGATTTATAGGACGTATTTATATCAGCAAACCTGTCTTTCCTTCACTTTAGGTTCTGGAATAACCGTATTTTAAAATATCATCATAAGAAATTTATTTCGAAGTGGTGTTTTTGCCAATTTTTCTCACTTCTCCTGAGGTAGTGAAAGGAGTTGGAAGAGGTGAAGATCTTGAGATGACTTAATGATCATTCCGTAACCTTCAATTTTGTGCTACATTTATATAGTTGCATATGGATTCATGTCTGTGCTATCAAAATGATGTCATAGTATCGTAATAGTAGGTTAAACTCTCAGCAATTTGAAAGTCTCTTTCTTGTATCAGCGAAAAGGATGTTCTCAGACGTCATTTTATCTAATTTGTTCTCTGCCATTGTGTTTCGAATCGTGTCGTACGTATGCACTCATCCAAACTGCACTATGCTGGAGTTATAACCATGCATGGTATACTATTAAAGGAGGTTTTGGATGAAAGATTTGCCGTAATATTATCTCTCCTACAATCTTATTTACGGGCT